ACCACTATGCTGAATAAGGATGGTAAGAGCACACATCCTTGGCTTGTTCTCCACCTTTGGGGGAAAGCAATCAGCTTTTCAACATGAAGTAGGATGTCAAAGAGATATATTACTTTGCAACCATGTTTATAATAGCCAAGAGATGAGAACAACCTAGAAACCCATCAACAGATGAATGTGACAAACGAGAAGGAAATCCTACCATATGGTACAACATGGATGAACTTTGAGGATATAATGCTAAGTAAAATAAGCAATCACAAAAAGACAAGTACTGTATGATTCCACTTGTATGAAGTATCTAAAGTTATCAAATTCTTAGAACCCGAAAGTAGAATGGTGGTTTCCAGGCGCTTGGGGGAGGGACAGAAGGAGTTGTTGTTCATTGAGTATAGAGTTTCAGTTTTCTAAGATGAATAAGCTCTAGAGATCTGTTGCACAACATACAATTGGCACTAATGACTGTACACCTAAGAAATGTACATTAGTGAGTTTTATGTCATGTGGTTTTTACCGCAATTTAAAAAAAAACTTAGAACAGGGAAACAAAAAGGGAACAAATTATTGTTATCTCCAAAAACCTAAATAAATCCCCAAAGAACTATTCTGAGTAAAAAAAAAAAGGTCAATCCCAGAAGGTTACATACTTTATGATTCCATTAATATCATATTTTTGGGCTAACAAAACTAAAAAATGAAGAGCAGATTAGTGGATTGCTGGGGTTAAGGAGGCTGTGGGGAGTGGAGGGAAGTGGGTGTGGCAAGAAACAGGAGACTTTGAGGCACCTGCTGGAGAGCAGATGTTCTCTTTCCACTGTGTTGACATCAACATTCTGGTTTTGATACTACTGTGCTGTAGTTTTCAAGATGTCACCATCAAGGTAAACTAGGGAAAAGGCCTAAGGGACCTGTGTATTATTTCCTACAACTACGTATGAATCTATACTTATCTCAGAATAAAATGTGCAATTAATTCTAAGAAATATTTGCCCCCAAACAGTGGAAGTAAATGCTAACTGAAAATGGTGTAGAAGTTTTAATACTTGCCTCCCCCAGTAGGATTTAGCAATTCTGGGAAACTGTATGTATTCAGTTGTAGAGGGATGCCTGGCTTAAATGCTCCCTGTTTTAGTCTCCAATGGCCTAGATATTGCTCTTGTGGTAAGAAACCAGAGAAGGATCTATGGGCACCAAAAGACAAACACCAGACATTGGAGACAGTTCTACATGGGTTGGAGGCAAGGTTAGCTACAGGGACAAGAATCCATCTTCATGCTAGAGGTCTTCTGGTCCAGCTTCAAATGAATCAGCGTTAGTATTATCCCTCTGATATCATTTGAATAGAGAACAGTGCATCTCTTGATTTCCACTACACCTGCTTAGAACTCTGCCTCATGAATGTCTGAGCCTGCGAATACAAGTTAGAAGACCTAATATTCTGGGACTAGTGTGTTGGTTGTGGGAACTCGACCAATTATGCCATGGAGACCACCACTTCATCAGGAAGGTGATGGATGGCTGAACATAAGCTACAATGCTGTAAAGAAAGTTTATTGTAAGGGATTGCAAAGTCCTCTCAATCACATTTGTCTACGTGTTTCCACCCTCCTGGAGCCGCAGTACTCAGAAGTTCTGGGAATGGTGCTAATCATATGAGCAGTGAAATCACTAAGAACTAGCATTCACTAAGCACCTACCAGAGGCCAGGCACTGTGCTAGGTGCATCTTACACATTGCACTGCATTCTCCATAACCGCGAGGTGAGGCAGGTAGTATGAGCTCCACTTTAAAGATTAGAAGACAGGATTTCAGAAGTGACATGATTTGCCCAAGGTCACTCAGCTGGTAGGGCTCAGGCTCCTCTATCTACAAAGCCTTTTAGGAAGTCTCAGAAAACATCATATAAATAATGAAATCCAAGCTTTGAATTACCAGATTTTGACAAAAGCCCCTAAACTGGAAGAGGTTAGAGAAAAGGTGCTAGCTTTCTCCTGAACTACAACATTACCTTTACATGGTGAACAGTAGGCAACTTAAATGGTTGTTAACAACTTAAATGGTTGTTAAACTGTAATGACCTGAAGGGAAAATGCTGCTCAGAACCTTATTCTCAGTCATGTGTGTGGGGAGGAGCAGTAGTGGAGGAATCTCTTGCCTGTTGATATTCTGGTCTGACTGGGACACAGCTGTACAAAGACCTGTAACACACCCAGCCACACACACATCAGGTTGCCTGAAGCGCATGGGACAAAGAAACCCAGGGCAAGCCCCAGGGTATGGATGATGACCTCAGATGCAAAGTATGTAGTGAGCCAATTCTGAGGCCTCAGAGAATTTCACAGACTAAACAGAAGGGGAGAGCCAGCTCTTGGGACTTGTGCTGCTGAGCCAGCAGGGCTAACCAGAGGCTGCTAGGATGGCGGGAGAACAAAGTAGGAATACACTTTGGCAGAGTAGGCACAGAACCCTACACAAACAGCATGTCTAGGTCAGGCAGCTCCTTTGCCTTGAGCTGCAGGTATCCCCACTGCTTCTGGATTCATCCACAAAGAGGCTGGAATCGAGCAGATTAACAGGCCCCTTTTGCTGGGAAACTCTGAAAAGAGACTTGATAAAGACTCAGAGGCTACTGCAGCCAAAGAGACTGTGACACAAGGGGACAGTTTCAGACTTAATTGTTTCAGACTGGTGGGGAGGGAGCAAGCAGGGAGCATGAGAGAAGAAGAAAGAAGACATTAATGAAGGAAAAATAGCCAAGGCCACACTAAAAATACTTTCCAGGCACATATTTCTCCCAGCACATAGCAGTTCTGTCAATTAAGGTTGTGTCATTTCCTGGGTTATTAAATCCAGAGCATGCAACATTCCACTCTGGGACAGTACAAGAAGGTCACATTCTCAGCCTCCCTCAGCACCAAAGCAGTGAAGCACAGTGATGGCAGCCCCCGGTGTTCTATCCCTCACAGAGCTGCCTGGAAGCTTCCCTTCAGGGTATGTCTAGAGGCCCAGCATGGCATTCTTTCTCAGGAATCCTCAGTGTCACCACAATCACCTTAAAAGGCATCAACATCTCAAGCAGGCAAAGCCTTAGTGGAACCAGAAGCTGGGACAGGAAGTGTAGTGCTACTTTGCCTTGATTATCACGATAAATGCCAGTAGCCTTCAGTGTCTTCTAAAGTCAAAACAGCAAAAAGTCTGCCTGTATAAGACTTAAGGAACTTAAATCTTTTAGTGTCAGGCAGAGACTTGATGCAGCAGATGCCCAATAATACCTGTCTCTCTTCTGGAGGGCGGCCAGGGTGGGGGGGAAGGGGGAGGTGGGAAGGAAAGAAAGACTATACGGAATAGCCAATGTACAATGTACCCTTGAGTGGGGTTCCTACAAAAGTCCCTTCCATACAGTTAAGGACTCAGGGACCTCTGAGACCTTAACCTCTCCTAACCTGCACTTGAAGCAATTGGCTTGCAATTTAAACACCCTTAAAGTAGGGCAGATCACTAGTAAAAGTGAACTGGAGAGGAACTGGATGGTAGAGTGGGCTTTAAAATTAATATAAAAACTGAGCACTCCAAATGGGAAAGATCCGCAGAGCTCAGACAAGTTTGGACCACACCATGTTTTCCAACCAAACTTAAACGTCACCAACATTTAAAAATCAGATTTCAGATTAAAAGGGGCCTTTCAACTTGTGTTTTAATGAAATTAATCAGCAAAAATGGAAACCCTGGGCCTACATGTGGCTTCTGGCTGGAGCCTAAGAGCAGTACCCGCTCTGGACAGGGCATGAACACTCCAACTGCCACGGGCCACAGATCCCCTTTCTCTGCCCTTGGTTCCTTATCCAACCCTTTACCTTTGGCCATTTGAGTTGGAAACTCCTAGCCTAATCCATTCCCTTACTCTCCATCCTCACACAAAGTTCCTTTGGCACAACCTGCTGGGATTTCTGGATTTGTCCTTGATGGGTCTGGATGGAGCAGATGAGCCTCTCTGCTAGGATGATCCAGACTCAAAGGTATTATAGGCAAATAGTCTGTGACAGAAGGGAACATGCTGCCTAGTCCCCAGCAAGATGCTTCCCCACCTTCCACCTGCAGACCCATCTCTCCCCATGTGAAACCTGCCTCTGCCCCCAGATCAGAACACATTCCTGTGGGCAAGCATTTGCAGCCTCATGGACTTCTTTTCTTGGAGAATAAGCAAACACTGCCTCCCCACAACTGTGCACCACGAGGAATTTCTCCCTGCTCGAATCCAATGGGAAACAGGAGTACAAACCACACTAGATTCTCTCTCATGCTCCTCATTAGGAATGCTGAGGAATTTCCCAGTAAGTGGAGGGGCTGTCAAGGAAGGACCATGATCAGTCAATGATGAGGATGCCCACTCAGTCAGGACAAGAATAAAACACTTCTCAGCAATTACATGATTTGTGCCAGACATGGTGCTGAGCATTTTACACATTTTTTTTTTTTTTTGGGTGGGGAGGTGGTACAGTACCAAGGGTCGAACTCAGGACCTCATGCTTACAAAGCAGGCAGTCTACCACTTGATCCATGCCACCAGCCCTTTTTGTGTTGGTTGTTTTGAGTCTTACTTTATTCCCAGGATGGCCTGGACCACAAGTCCTCCTTATTTGTATTTCCCCACATTGCTGGGATGACAGGCAGCCAGCCATTGGTTGAGATAGGGTCTCTCAAACTTTTTCCTCTGGCTAGGCCGGACTGGAACTGCAATCCTCCCAATCTCTGCCTCCCAAGTAGCTAGGATTACAGGCTTGTGCCACTGTGCCCTGCCTACATGTTACTTCTAATTTTTACATCAGCCCTGCAAAGCAGGAGGTACTACCCCCTTTTTACACATAAGAAACATGAACACAGAAAGTTTTTCTCCCTGGGACAGTGGTTCAGTTTTCTCTCACCTGCCTACAGGAATGTGGTCCTGGTATAAGTGACCTGTTCCAGAACTGGCCTGAAGGAAAACTCATGGGCCTACTTACGGTCTGCCATTTGCCTCCTCCCCACTGACTGAAGTCTTTGAATCCACAGCGTTGTTGAAATTGGAGATGTTTTCAGAAGAGTACAAGCCAGCTGGGTTGTTATACTGGTTGGTGATGACCCTGGGGGCCATGCTGGAGGCAGGTGAGGCAGTGAATGGCATGGCACTTCGGTTGTGGGCACTTCCTATATGCAGGACCTCCTGCAGGTAGCGAACAGAGGAGAAATCAAGGGGGATGTCCACCATGCATCCTTCGACGGGCAGTGCAGACTGAGGGCCAGGGAGAGGGTTCCAGCAAAGCCACAATGGCCCGGGTTCAATGCCAAACTTTGGCTGACAAACTCAGATGGACCACTAAGACATGTGGGCAATGACCAGGAAAGTGTCCTGCCTTCTGATTCTGCCCTGAGGCCCAGCAAACCCTGATCTCTGCAGGACACCTCTTCATGCCTTGGACTGTCAGGATGCAAGTCAGAGCTAAAGTAACCTTTCAGGGCACATTCCAGAAGGATTAAGGAATCAAAAGGAGAGAAATATGCAATGCAGAGCAGGAGATGATACAAGTTGGAGATAATTTCCCCAGAACTGAGTGGTTTTGATCACCAAGATAAGGGGGGGGGGCAGTTGCTGATTAGGCAGAGGTGGTTGGTCTCAGTCCCAGTGGAGGGGCAGAGTAGGACCTATTGTTCCTTTTGGAGGAAATACAGGCTAATCAGATAAAAGGTTAAGGGATACCTGTTTCAGGGGCAGTACCTGTAGAGCTGCAGAAAGGACTTTGAGTTCTTTGTGTTCTCATTCTCTTCTCTGTAATTTGAGAATGCCCCCTCCACCACCACCACCACCCCCAGAAGTTCAGTGAATAATTACTACAACTACAACCTCTAAGTGCTTCTGTGCAAGCACCCAAAGCACTTTATAAACAATACTACTTTAAAAAAAAAAAAATAACAGGTTTTCTGTTTTAACGTTCTGGATCAATCCATGACTTCCAGGCCACCCATGCTCTGTGCAGCCCACTAAACTCAATTCATATCATGTTTTCTGAATTCCTCAAACACCCAAGGACAAAACAGTTGTCCCAAAGTGAGTTCCTGTCCCTCTGTTGCTCTTCCTTCCTCTTCGTCCTTTCTTCAGTGTTTTCTTGGAGAACATTATATATGAAAACTAACAGCTTAATCCATTGTGTATGTAATTTAAATTTAAAATAAAAAACAACATAAAATGCTTTCATGATTAAATAAGATTCCTTTTTCACTATTCAGTTAGGCTTCCTTTTCCACAGGTCAGAATCAGCGAGGTTTTATTGTATAAATCACATTTAGTTGACTCTGTCCATGCTAAACAGATAATCACAAAAGGGACCACATAGCTAGTTGAGAAAAAAATTTCAGCAGTAATCAAGAAATGGTTAAGTAGTTTTATGGCACAATGACTCAAAAGAATCATGAGATCATTATAGCCTGATTGTGAAGACAGAGGCAGGGTTACAAATGGGAGGCCTGAAACTCTCATCCACATAAACTACGGCACTGTGGACAGTTGCATGACTAAATCCAACATGGCCGACTTTCTTCCTCTACATCTCCACAGCTATTACTGGGAGCAGCATAAGAGGCTGAGCATGGGAGAAGAGCCCTTATTCTTCAGATTGCTTCAATTTTTCCTTGCCACTTCATGTTTGACCGTGGTCAAGTTACATGTCTGTAAGTCCATTTCTCATCCTTAAAATGATGAAAATAAAGTCTTCCCAAGGACTCGGAGTGGCATATTAGTAAACCAAACACAGTGCCTGACACCAAACTAATATCCAACCAAGGCCTGTTCCCTTCTACCCCCCATAGAAACATATTTCCAATTAGAATTTAAGTCCATGGAAAATCCAAGTTGGAAATTCTGATTTTCACTTTGTAAAGAATTTTTCAAAAATGTATCTGGTTTGTACATAAAAGGCTTATCTCTACCCCCATGTGTATACTGGTCTTTCCAGAAGGCAGGCGGATTTAGGGCTTGCCTTTTGGAAGGGATGATGTAATTGTTTGGGCTTTGTATTTATCAGTCTCCAAGGAAACTGAATAATGAGGAAATACAAACTAGGTGTGTAACTATGCTGACCGCAGATAAGCTGGGGTGTTGGTTGGCTTTACATGAACTAACAGATCTTTTTATTATCAATGAACTCTGCCCTCACTCATTTGTCTTCTATTTCAGAAAGGCTAGAAGTGGAAGATTGTGGAAAAATGAGAGGTGGGAGGTTTCTCATACTAATGAAAAATTACCGGAATCAAGAGAAAAATATACTCAAGTTAGATTTTAAAGTAGTTGAGAACTTTTTAGTCTGAAGAGAACTACCTTAAAACTATTAAGTATTATATAAGTAACTAGATCATATGTTTAAGATGAAAGTTCAAGTATGATACAAATAAAAAAATATAACAAGTGTAATGACTGCTTTATTCAAGTGAAAACCAGGATTTCAGACAGACCAAATTAAAACAAAATCATTCCTTATGTTAGAAAATATGTGAAAACTAAACACTAAAATTTAACAATTATAACACATTTACTGAAGTGGCTAAGAACTCCCAGGGAAAATTAAAATTAACCCTAGTATGTTTTAAATTAATTTGCATAATGACCAGTTGATAGACTATCATTTCAAGAACTTTCCTTACAGGGCTTGTATAGAATAATATATTCATGTCAGTTTTGAAGTAACAGGTGGAAAATGAGCCTTCAAGTAAGGATTGGGATTTTTAAGTATGAATGTTATTATAATAATGGGAAAAAATTTGTGACTACATTTTTAAAATTTTAGTGACTTATATCAACCACTCAATTTACACACTAATATACCATGTGAATTCAATTTCTGTATTATGGATAAAAGAGCTGGGTGTATGTTACCCTTTGATTATATCTCAGTTCACCACAAAAACTAAATAGTGTACCAAACGTAGAAAAAAATTAAATTTTAAATCTTCTACTGGGGTTAAATGTGTAACAACCCAGTCTAAAATTTACAAAATCCATTTAATTTATCAATGATATGCTGCTCAGCATTTTACAAAGGAGTTCTAAACATTCTTCTGTTAGTTTCCTTTATTTCAAAAAAGAACATTCATACACTGTGGACAATTTAGAAGATGCACCAAAGAAAGAAGTAAAACCACCTATAAAGCTAACTAGTGAGAGATTTATTTACAAATATGGGATTTCAAAATGGTCCACTGTTCCCAGAAAATCCTATGTAAACAACAAACAGTGCAGACAATTTATCTTAGTAATTTTAATGCCTCACTTCAAGTTTCACTGTAACAAAAATGGAGATTTCCATCCCAGGACTCAAAGGAGAATGGGGGAAAGAAGTGGGGTTTACTATTAATGGTCCCTTTGTTTACTTTTGACTCTGCTTCAGGACCTAAATTTATTTTCACCACTAGGATTATTTGTTTGGATCTGAAATCCATAAGAGCTGAGTTAGCTCTCTGATTTCTCTATGAGCCTGCCAACCCTACTTCAGGAAGGGTTCCATCCGCTTCCCTATCCTCTTCCTACTCTTGCTTCCATCCCAGGCTGAGGTCCCTGCCCTGGGGTTTTCCAGCTCTTTTCTCCGACAGTTCTCTTATGGGAAGAACTGAACAGAAGAGTCAGATCCCAGCAGTGACAGTGGAGGGCTCTCCCTGACATTTTCTTCCCAGGCTTCCAGGGCAGGAAAAACAGGAATATGCTGAATAGTGCCACAAGTGGGAAGTGGCTGGTGGCAAGAGCGACAATGCAGAGCAAGTACTTACTTGAGGTTCAGAGGCTAAATTCATCTTGTATGGATGTCGCTTCCCCTCCTCAGTCACTAGGGGAGACCAGATTTTTTGTTCAGATCTGTAACAAATGAACAAAGCTGTTGGGTTTTTTGTTTGGTTGGTTGGTTGGTTTTTCTTTTGTAACAGTGCTAGGGATGGAATGCAGGGCCTTGCATGTAATACTGAGTTATATCCCCAGCTGAACACTGTTATTTCATTGGTGCTAAAGAAATAATACAGTCAGTCCTCTCTATCTATGGGTCTTGCATTTTCAGATTTAATCAGCTCTTCAGTTGATATTTGAAAACAAACTGTAGTAAATAGATACAGACTTTTTCCCTTGTCATTATTTGCTAAATAATATAACATAACAACTATTTACATAGAATTTACATTGTATGAGGTATTAAAAGTAATCTAGAAATGATGGAGTGTATAGAGAAAGATGTGCAAATACTACACCATATAAGAGGGACTCGAGAACTCATAGCTTTTACTATCCACAGAGGTCCTGGAAACAATCCCCAATAGAAGCTGAGGGACAACTGTACACACTAAAAAAACAGATTTAAAAATGTAATCCCTGCCTGGACTTCTACCCTCTGAACCCACACTCTACCATCATTCTTACTTCTATTTGTCAATCTGATGGTATCCATGTCTGAAAGCTCCCCACAAACAGCCCTGAGGGACTTCCCAAGCCACCCCACCTTCTTCCAGCCTCAGCCTTTCATTGCACTCTGGGTAGCTGACACCAGCCACTAGGCTCCTCCTTATACATGCCTCATTCTGTCCCACATCTGCTCAAGATGGAATGGACTCCTCTATCTTGATCAGTATTCCCACTGCAAACCAGATCATCCAACTTATTCATGAAGCTTGTCTGACCCTAAAAAAAGCAATGGTTCCATTTTTGATCTTGCAGAAGATTTTCTTCTTGTCAATCACACAGTCATGGTCTCAATTTTCCTTGCTGTAGGTTTTTTCCTCTCTCCCCAGGAGAGAATATTTATGCTTACCTTTGTATTTTTCAGAGTACCTAGCAGTGCCAGACATTTACAAAATGTTCTTGTTCAATTTGTTGGTAAACAAATCAAAAAATCAACCCAATGAATGTATAAATGGCTTAACTAGAACTTGAAGGAAAGGATTATGAAGATAATCAATAAAAATGAAGATGAGAATAAGGAGTAAATGTGCTTTACAAAAGTGTTGCCTCCCACAGGGTAGGGCTCTAAAGTGCACAAAATATTCTGGCATACTCTCCCACTCTTGGTCCTCCTACTAATCCCAGGGTGCAGTTAGAAGAAATAAGAAAACATACCTCATAGATGAGAAACTGATGAGGAACTGTGGAAGCTAAGATTAGTGAAACATTAAAGGGCAGGCTCACAAATCAGAAAGAAGAATCTGAACTTGATCCAATAGGAAATAGGGAGCCAATGAAGGTTAAACAAGATCACTCCCAAAATCTTGCCTCATATAGGACCCCTTCCAAGACTAAATAAAAGAATGGAAAGTCTACCCTACTTACATTTCCCAAGGTGCTAGCTTCATTTGTCCATTCAGTCCAGCTCTCTTTTCTTGTAGTGAACTTTGTTACACTCAGCACCTTCTCTAACATGTTGAAGTCTTTCCATCACTGTAACCTCCTAACAGAATACCTACTGCTTAGTGTAGTGCTAAAGAAACTGCATTATAAATTGATTCTCAATGGTCCCCAGGAAGAAGTTCTCATTCCATAACACCTAACAATATTTAACTAATTTTACTTCCTCAGAATTTTGGTTAGTTGTGTTGGATCAAGTGAAAATTCAGGTAACTTAAAGAAAGAAGCCCACACCTATGAGAAATGCATTGAAAAAGAGAAGAAAATGAGCAACCTGAAATTCCAATGCTACAGAACTTTTAGCATGATTTCAGGATACATGGCACAAAGCTAGGGGTACAAGGGGTCCCTAGATGGGGAAGGCAGCCCCTACCCACAAGCAGCTTCCAGCCAATAAGAAAACAAACATTCCATAGGCTCACCTGTTTACTGTGAGAGTCATATTGTCTGTGCAGCCTTTGATTTTGTTCTGAGCTTCCAAATGTGTCATATTGCTGGTATTTTCCCCATCGATGGCCGTGATTATATCTCCAATACATAAATTAGCTATAGCAGCCTTGCTTCCAGGAGTGACCTGGCAACAAAGGAGAGAACAGACTAGTTACTATTTGGCTCCACAGAAAAAACTGTGTAAGTGACCACCAGGTTAAATAGTCACTGATATAGATCAAAGCACTGAAAAAGGAAGGAGCCTGGAATAATGGCACAGGCCTGTAACCCCAGCACTAGGGAGGCCCAGGCAGGAAGACTGAGAGTTCCTAGCCATGATGGCTACCAAGTGAGACCCTGTCTCAAAAAGAAAGCAAGGAAAGAGGACCAAAATTATTAGTTTAAATTACAATCCTTTCTATTTATGCAGTACGTTATCATTTATAGAGTTCTTTTCTATATCAGTCTTTTGGATCCTTATAACCACCTTGTGAGAAAGGAGGACAAATATTAATCCTCACTTCAGAGACCAGGAAACTGAGGCTTAGACAGATTTTTACCTACCCAGGATCACCTAATTAGTATAATACTATATTACTCATCATCCATCCAGTCTACTGCAGACTCAAACCCTGAACCAGACCCAGTGTCTTGCCCATTGAACCTTGTCATTTCCTTAAAATAAGTCACCAATTGCATTTTTTAAAATACACACAAGCTGCAGGTGTGGCTCAAAAGGCAAAGCACCTGTCTAGCAAGCAAAAGGCCCTAGTTCAACTCCCAGTACCATCAAAAAAAAAAAAAGAAAAAAGCATTTCAAGAACATCATGTATAGATGGAGACAGAAAGTAGATGGTGGTTACAAGGGGCCAGTAAGAAGGAAAAATAGCGACTTATTGTCTAACGGGTACAGAGTTTTAGTTTGGGATGATTAAAAAAACTTCTAGAAATGGACAATAGTGATGGTTGAATATTATTAATGCTACTGAATTGTATAATTAAAAATGGCTTTTAAAACTTTGCTAAAACCAGTCTGGATTTCGATCCCAACTGTAACACTTCTATCTCTGTGACCTTTTTGCTTCAGTCTCCTCATCTGCAAAAATAACAAAACAGTGTCTCACGTAAAAAAAAAATAAAAGAACATCATGTATAGTAACATCCTATTTCTGTAAAAATCTTATTATGTTACTCTATGCACAGGTGAAAAGTAAGACATTATACACCAAATTGTCCAGTTATACATTTCAGAAATGTGCTTACTTTTTTGCCATAAGCTTGAGTTACTTTCACAATTTAAAAAAGCAATAAATATTACTTTTTTTTTTTTTTTTTTTTTTTTTGCGATACTCAGGGCCTACACCTTGAGCTATTCCACCAGTCCTTTTTTGTGATGGGTTTTATTCAAGATAGGGTCTCAGGAACTTTTTGCCCAGGCTGGTTTTGAACCATTATCCTCCTTGATTTCTGACTTTTGAGTAGCTAGGATTACAGACATGAGCCACCAGCACCCAGCTTAATAAAGATTATTTTTAAATGTTAGTGTGTGTTTACATCGATTCATAACCTCCCACCCAAGAAGCTGGCTATGATTCAGGTCCTCCCTAGAGGTGGCTGGTTTTCTGCACACTGATGCTTCCAGACCAGTGGTTCCAAATTTACAGAACACCAACAACTGGGGCAGGCCATGTGTTACCACAACAGGTCTTCAAATCCATCTGTCTACTGAGCATTACATTTGGACTGAATAAACATGTCTCCCACACAGGTGTACAACTGTTTTTCAAGTGAATACACAGATGTTGGTATGATGAATGAAGTACAAATTCATTTTGAAGTAGAGTATCTTTTTGCTCTTAGTATCTTCTAAACCAAGATATCCCAAAAAGGTCACTATAACCACCCCAGGCCAGTCCATGACTTTCTGACATTAAAGACCTTCTTGGATGGGAACCCAGAATCCCCAGGAGCAGGGCAGTGCTAACACTCTCAGGTTCCTAGTGACCAAAGGGCTCTGACAGCTCTTTGGAGAAGCTCCTTGGCTCCTGGGAGTAGTAGAGGAAGATCTTGTGAACACTGGGATGTCTCTGAAAGTTGAGCCATAAGAGGCTCCTCAAGGCAACAAACCAGGACACAAGACTGAGGCCCTAAGACTCTATATCACACAGTTTTTAGTCATCACATTCCCAAAAGGCTCTCAACAAACCAAAAAACACTAGCCCTTATAGGGCAGCTGGTATGGGGTGACTGCCTTGGTCCACTCCCTCATTAGACCCTGATCCCACAAAATGAGGGGGATGAGTTGATCCCTGAGGTCCCTTCTAGCTTGAACAGGCTATATGACTTTAACAGGCAAAACTCTCCTGGAATGTGGCAGGATGTGGAAACCAGCACAGAGATCTTGACCTCCTAACCTTCCTCTCTGGCTTTCCAATCATCTGTTTACCAGAGATTTGGCTCTCAGAAAACGAAAGCCCCAATCCAGGGCTAGACCTTCCTCCCAGGCAGCCACTGGGACGAGACACTTTACAAAGACCAGGGCAAGCTGCCTTCCTTTCAGTTAGCAGTGAGGAGTTAATTTCTGAGTCACCCACTGCAGGCAGTGAAAACAAGTCCTCTCATTTTCTTCTCAGGAAGGCTGATCTGGTGTGATTTCATATGCATTCATTTTTTATGTACTCATTTTTTTTTTTAAATGGCTCTACCTAAGCAGCACAATATTTGGGATTGGCAACAGTTCTGGACTGGTAAATTCTATCTCCATGGAGAGTGACTTAAATCCAGTAGGATAATGCTGATCGAATTCATTTACCTTAGGCTCATGGACTGGCTCAAGTGGTAGAGTACCTGCTTAGCAAGCGTAAAGCCCCAAGTTCAAAACTCACTTATCATAATGTTAAAGTGTTAAAGAACAGTCCCCTTGGGATAAAACCCAAAATCTTTAGCAAAGCCCCTAAAATCAGTGCCTCCCTCCCCACCTTCATGATACAGTCTTCCGACCAAGCTCCAGCTACAGTGACCTCCCTCAAGTCCCCCCTCTCCTCTTTCTCACCTCAGGACCTTGGCACATATTTTAACCTCTGCCCAATTAACTTTTCTCACCTTTCAAGTCTCATCTTAAAAGATCCTTCTCAGATTCTTCCCTTACCTCCAATCTATGCAGTATTTCTGCCATCCTTTTAATACACTCTGTTTTCCATGGCACCTGTCACATATTGCCAAATCTACTCTTTGGGTTTATTTCTTTAATGTCTTGTTGCCTTGTTTCCTAAACAGTAAGGCATGTGAGAGCAGGATTTTGTCATCCTTTGTGCCATGGTATACCCAGGCCGTGGTACAGTGACTATAGCACATAGTCAGTGCTCAAAAGATTTGTCCAATAAGTAATCTAAAATATCTAGTGTTGTTAAAGATGTAATCAAGATGCTTCACTTTCTCCTTTACCTGTGTATGTCAAAATAATCAAAAATATTTTTACTTCAAAAATCAAATATTCCTTTCCTTTCACATACTATGAGTGAAACACATCCACTCACAAAACTCAAGTAAGGGGACTGAGAAAGGTCGGTGGTGAGAAGATAAAATAAAAGTTTCTTTTTAATTTCCTATGTTCAATTGCTAAGAAGTTTGAGCTTTCCAGCATTTGATCCACGCTGTTTTGTGGAGAGGCATTTCTGCTGAGAACATCCCAACAGGTCTTAGACAAGCTAGAACCAGCCTGATGAGTCTTAAGTATGAGTAATCAAGGCCTAGACATTCTATCTTTTGGTATGATTTCCTTTCCTGGTTTTTGTTTTGTTTTGTTTAAGTCAAACCAATAGGCAAAGGAAATTTTCAAAGGTTACAACCCTGTATCATAAGATGGGACTCAGAATCACATTCTTTTATGAGCCATCTCTTTTGGGAAAAAGGAGAATTTAAATAAATTATGGAATTTACTTTTTACAAAGCCTATTCATATACAATTTCCTATTTTAGATAATAATAACGATGAGCTCACCACAAACAAAAATTTGATAACCTTACAGATGAGGAAATCTAGAGTCAGAGAAGCTGTGACTGGCTCAAGGTCATAATAGCTAAACTTTTGCCTGAATTAACACTAGATCTTCACGTTCCAAATTCCATTCTTGTCTGTTTGAGCGCAACACCAAAGTAGAGACTCCAAACTCAACTGTCAGTGCCAAAGAGAAATCCAGAATTAAGAGATGCATCTGTGTGGCCTCCTACACAAATCCCTGCTGCTGGCATGGGACAAGGCTGCCTTGCTCTGTATTCAACTGGGGCACTACCCTCAAATAATGACCTGAAGAGCTGCAGAGCTGCCAGAAAAAGCCTGTGCCTCAATGTTGGAGAGTTCCTGTAGTGAATGACAGATTCAGATCCTTGCCACACAACCATTTCATCATAATCAACCATACTCATAACAGTGGCCACAAGTTAATGGGTATTAATTACATGCTAAGCATGGTCTAAGTACTGAACAAGGGTTAACTTACCCTCCTCACCTGAAGCTACCAGGTAGGCAATGTGATCTGCATTGTTTCTATAGATGAGGAAACAGAGGAACAGGGGTTAAGCAGTTTGACCAAGGTGACTCAGCGGATGAGCGGCAGGCCACAGCAAGCTCCAGGGTCCGCTACACCACACTGTCTACCCTAATTTCCTCCCAGCCACCAAATTCCATCATAACCATTCATGATGGAGTGAGCTCTGAGTTCTAATAAAAAAAAAAAAATCTTACACGCCAGAGAAACAGACCCATTAATTCAATGGACATCTCCAAAAATCCCTCTGCCAGTTTTCTTCCCCAGAGACCATACAAGTAAATTACACAACTGTGTGAGAGTAAACGGGTTTCTGCATGATAATTTCTACTAATGAACAATCTGCTGTTTTCTGAAGGCTTCGTTCTCATCACCCACACCCTTCAGCCACACCCACACCCCCACACATACCCATCAGACACTGCTAGCTCAGAGGCCAACCTGCTGTCCCCAGAAGTTCACAACACATCTTCCAAACCTGTGAACTGCTGCCAGAGTCCTAAGCCCATAAGGCTGTTGAAGATTTTAATTTCACTTTTAAATGGTGCAAAACAGCACTATGACATAGCCCCCCCACTTTCTTCAGTGTACATCTAAA